TCATGATCATATATAGTGCTAATTTCTAGTACAACTGCTCTCAGTTCAATCCCATTTGTGCATCTTTACATGTTTTGTCCCATTTGAACTGTGTGAACAACAGGATTTGGAAAGATCAGTTAACAGTGCTTCGGTTGATGGCGAAATCCACAGTCAGAGTGCTAGGGTCTTTAAATATAAGCAACTTAACATACACGCAAATGAATGGAAATATGATGGATTCAAATATTATGTGTGGCCCCAGAGACTTCATGATGCCAGGTTTCTGCAGCCAATAAAGTCAAACGATTTGCAGGAACTGGTTTTAATATATGCTTCACATTCTGTAATATTGTGTATAAAATATCCAGAAGCACTTAGAACTAAAATAAAAAGATAAAAGCTTGAGGCTTCAGCATTTTTGTAGGGACCATCTCATATCATGTCTCTTGGGTGCATCTCAAAGTGCTTCACATACGGTACATCATTATGCTTTGATGTTATTTAGGCATGCACAGCAACCACTTTGTGCACATCAAGCTGCCACATGCAGCAATGAGATGAATGACCAGTTGAAGTGCCAGTGGGTTGATTCTCTCCATTTCTCTGCTCTTTAGTTATGCATCAGTGTATGCTGCTCTAATTAGTGGAATTGTTAAATAGCTCCATTGGTCGCTTTTGAAAGAATTAAACCACAAGTGGTAAACAACTGTTGGAATCATCAAATACATGATTTCAGATTTTAAAATTCATTATCCCCTCTGTTCTGCCATGGAACAACACTGGAAGCACTAATATGTAAAAAAAACTTTATGTGAATCACCGATCCTTCCATCTATCGCAAAAAGGTAATTTTCTGAGTTAATGCTGAGTTTTATATAAATGTGTTTATTTCTGTTGATATATATGTATGTGACTGTGTATGGGGCATTTGGGAAGTGGAGTCTGAGGAGATAGTTCTTTGCGAGAGCCGGAAAACATATATTACAAGTATTTATCCATCAATTTGTTAAACTGGCATACTTATGTGTATTACGTGTAAATATCCTCATCTCTGCATCATAAGTGTGAAAATAGGATTTACTGAATATGTGGATGAGGCTCTAAGGTCATCTATGATCTAACTGTGACCTCACTGTCATATATTAGTACTCCACTAAGAGATTCAAATCCGCACAGCAGTGAGCATGTTGCTCTGTACCCTCACTATCATTTATAGTCTATTCATAAACATTGTTTAATGATAACTTAGAAGTCTGGCCTGATCTCATTTGACAGACCAAAGAACCCAAACTCGAAGAGTAAGGTTCAGGTTTCAAGCTCCATTCCAAAAGTCCTGACTACACATTTGTGGACAGATACTTTGATGCATCTATTTGGGGTTTGCCATACTGCCAGATTTTTTTTATTATTCATTCATTAGATGAGGGTGTCTCTGGCGGGGCCAGCGTTTATTGCCCATCTGTAATTATTCGTAGGGCACAGGGCTATGGATCTTATTCCAACCATCACACAACAAACATGCAGCACAGTGGATATTGGAAAATGGATGGGGCAGCTAGACCTTGGCTTTTAATCGGAAATGTTATATTTGATCTGTTCCTGTACGGTTTCATCCAACAGTATAACGTCAAATTACAATATAATGATAGAGAATCTAGGGCATCTTAAGTAGAAAAGAAAATTTCAGGACTAATTATGTATTGACTGATCCACACAACTTTAGATATGAAATAACATTTTTCACACAAAAAGAACAATTGCTGGAAAAACTCTCAGGTCTGGCAGCATCTGTGAAGAGAAAGCAGAGTGAATGTTTCAGGTCCAGTGACCCTTCTTTAAAACTGATAGAAGCTCGGAAAAGACGATATATGTGTGGAAGCCGGGGTGGGGCTGGTCAGTTCAAGAAGGCAGTTCCTTCGCCGGGACAAATACGAATGGGCAATTAATACTGTCCAGTCAGTGTCGCCCATGTTCCACGAGTGACTAAAAAAAAATGATAGGTAGAGATGGAGCATAGAACTCGTAATATTTTTAGGGTGAGATTTGTCTGATTTCTTGAAGGTGGAGTCACAGGTAGAAGGGATAGTAAAGAAGGCATTTGGTACATTTGCCATTTTTGGTCAGTGCAGTGAGTATAGGAGTTGGGAACTCATGCTGTGACTGCATAGGATATTAGTTAGGCCACCTTTGGAATACTGCATTCAGTTCTGGTCTCCCTGTTGTCAGGAAGATATTGTTAAACTTCAAAGGACGCAGAAAAGACTTACAACGATGTTGCCGGGATTGAAGAGTTTGAGCCATAGGGAGAGGCGAAATTGGCTTGGGCTATTTTCCCTGGAGCATCAGAGGCTGAGGGGTGACCTTATGAAGGTTTATAAAATCATGAGATAGGATGAATAGCCAAGGTTTTTTTTCCCCCGGGTCGGGGAGTCCAAAACTATAGGGCATAGGCTTAAGGTGAGATGGGAAAGATATAAAAGGAAGCTAATGCAGAGGGTAACAAGGTGTAGAGCTGGATGAACACAGCAAGCCAAGCAGCATCAGAGGAGCAGGAAGGCTGAA